AAGCTATATAAAGAAGTGGGCCAAAGAAGACATATGGGCTAAGGAGACCAAGACGTAGCATAGGAAGTGTAAAGCTAGACTAGCGTTAGTAGCCCTTTCGGCTCGGCCGCCGGGCGTAAATAAATTGTGTGTGTATACCCTGTCGGATGGTTGGATGGATACCCGACGTGACTAGAAATTATGTTGTTACCACCCACGTCTGCCGTACCTGCCGTTTCCTTCTCCCTGCTCGGCATACCTCTGACCCAACTTATCCGAAGATCCACGTCTGTTCCGTATACTCGATAGCTTCGGAAGCTATTATGCCCGGATAGGTTACCGACAAACTCGCAGCTAGGGTTGGGAACGTCCGGCACGTTTCGGGTATTGTATGGACCTTTCAATCCCCTGCTTGCTGACGCAAGATCTAGTAGTCCAATGGCTTGCCTACCGGCCGGGGCTTAAACTTGTATTGGACGATTTTTTTTTCGGCGCAGAGGCTCGAAATACAGTCACTAGCGATTGCGGCTTCGCCTCGCTGAGCAACCGCTTTGAACAGTCCCGCCTTCTGTCTATAGCCTAGCGCTGGATGTTTGCCGCAAAACAGTTGGTGTGATTGGTTAGTCGTTGGTCTAGTGATGACTGGTTTTGTGGAATGCTGCACGCAGAGGTGAAGCCGCAACCGCCAACAACTGTACAGACGACATTTCTGTTCCAAATGAACCTGGTGACGATTGTGATTCATGGGCGCGGCTCGTTTTGGTTCGAGAAGGTCTGGGTAGCATTGAATAAATCGATCAGCTTAGTTGTAACCAACGTCTTTTTACGTTATGTTCGAAGTTAATCCGCGAAAGAGATCTTGATTAGGTAGAGTACTGTGTGCGGTTAGTTGGTCTGCATATTCTATGCGATCAATTTCTTGTTGTAGGTGGAGCGCGCTCTGGTTTTGATAGCCGGTAGCGCATGAGATGAGCAGGCTATCAGTGATCATCGTGTGCCTAATAAGACTACAGGATCATAGCCTACATCAATCCCAGTATCAGCAAAGCTAAACGTAGCAAGGACTAGCGTGAGATGAAAATGAAAGTAAATGCAACAGCGGAAATTGCATGTGCAAGCTACTGTGATTTGATTTTTTTGATAAGTTCTAGTAGCTTGCATCCGCGGCGGCCATGCCCAATTAGTTGTTTTAACCAATAGCTGCAGCCGCGTAGACTAACGTCAGCGCCACCCTACATCGTTTGCATATAAGAGCCGGCTGTCCCTGGTGGCCCGCTATTTTTCTTCAATGCCATCTACAATTTAGACTGTATATCTTCTCTTATTAATCCTTTCTAAAGCACCCTGCTTTTCCCGCTCTCTCATTGCTCACCTGCAATGGACCACCCATTTTTTGGCATGACTGGTGGTCAAATCTTCAATGAGATGATGATCCGCCATAATGTGAAGCATATTTGTATGATCGAATTGTTTTATAGTCTGAATGTTACACTGACCCGCTTCAGTTGGCTACCCTGGTGCGTCTCTTATCCGCGTACTGGACGCCATCTACCAGTCAAAGCACTTCGACTTCATCCTTCCTCGACATGAACAGGGCGCCGGTCATATGGCCGAGGGTTACGCCCGCGTTAGTGGAAAGCCTGGCGTCGTGCTCGTCACCTCTGGCCCTGGTGCTACCAATGTTGTCACGCCCATACAGGATGCATTCATGGACGGAACACCCCTGGTTGTTTTCACCGGTCAGGTGGCTAACAGTGCAATTGGCTCAGACGCCTTTCAAGAGGCCGATATGATCAGCATCACAAGGTCCTGCACTAAGTGGAACGTCCTTGTCAAAGACATTGCAGAGCTACCCCATATAATCAACAAGGCTTTTGAGATTGCCACTAGTGGTCGCCCAGGGCCCGTTCTAGTTGATCTGCCAAGTGATGTTAGCGCCAGTACCCTCCAAAGGACTATTCCCCTGAGCAGCACCCTTTCCGCCACCACCAGTCCTGTAACCATTGCCGCAAGGGAAGTCAGCAAGCAGCAGTTAGACCAATCCATCAGGCGATCAGCCGACCTAATTAACAAAGCCAAGAGGCCCATCATCTACGCTGGCCAGGGCGTTATGCAGACAGAGGACGGTCCTAAGCTTCTTAAGGAATTTGCAGACAAATGCAATATCCCTGTAACCACCACCCTGCAGGGCCTCGGAAGTTTCGATGAGCTTGACTCCAAGTCTCTACATATGTTGGGCATGCACGGCTCTGGGTACGCCAACATGGCCATGCAAGAAGCCGATCTCATTCTCGCTCTTGGTGCCCGCTTCGATGACCGTGTTACGGGCGCTATTTCCAAGTTCGCTCCTGCTGCCAAGGCCGCCGCAGCAGAAGGTCGTGGAGGCATCATTCACTTTGAGATTATGCCAAAGAACATCAATAAGGTTGTCCATGCAACTGAGGCTGTAGAAGGTGACCTTGGTGTCAATTTGAAGCAGCTTCTGCCTCTCGTGAACAAGGTTGAGCACCGCGCTGAATGGCTGGGTCAGATTGCAGAATGGAAGATGTGTTTCCCTTGGGCCTATGAAAAGGAAGGTGAGAATGGTCTCATCAAGCCCCAGGCTATCATGGAGAAGCTTTCATACCTGACCGCCGACCGTAAGGAGGAGGTTATCTTAACAACTGGCGTTGGTCAGCATCAAATGTGGTGCGCGCAGCATTTCCGATGGCGATATCCACGTACCATGGTCACTTCGGGTGGTCTCGGCACCATGGGTTACGGTCTCCCGGCCGCCATTGGCGCAAAGGTCGCCCGGCCACACTGCACCGTCATCGACATTGACGGTGATGCATCCTTTTGTATGACCTTGACTGAACTTTCAACCGCCGCCGAGTTCAATATTGGCATTAAGGTCATTATTGTGAACAACGAAGAGCAGGGCATGGCCACACAATGGCAAAGCCTCTATTGCATGGACCGTTTCGCCCACACCCACCAGCGCAATCCAGATTTTGTCAAGCTCAGTGAGGCTATGGGCGTTCAAGCCAAGCGCTGCATCAAGCTTGAAGACCTGGAAGATTCACTCAAATGGCTCCTCGCAACCGATGGGCCTGCGCTATTGGAGATCGTGACTGATCAGAAGGTACCTGTTCTGCCCATGGTACTTCCTGGAAGCGCGCTGCATGAGTTCATAATCTATGATGAGAGTAAGCATTTCCCAATCGCTGACGTTATGACATGAGCTAATGGCATAGTAGAAACTGTCAAAGAACGTAGAGCTCAAACAAAGAGCAGATCTGGTCGTTAGATCTAGCTATATTCTGATACACATTAATTAACTTGGTCGCAAAAGACTATGTCGTACCTACTTAAGAGAAAGTGCTGAGAATAACGACTTTTGTAGTCGCTAAAGCTCTTTTTAGTACCGTCAAAGCTATGTCTGAACCTGTGGTGGTAATTGAGGTATGTGTTACAGGCCATGGGCTATGAGCCAAGAACACCATGTAAAGCCACGTGGTTGTCCACTGACTGATTGCGCTGTATTTAAACTAACCCCTAGTAACCTAAGCATGAAATGATAGAAGATCTGTCTTTAAACAACTGTTGACATGGGCTATCTCTGTCCTGGACCTTACTATAGTAGACAAACTTTATGCTAGCCGGTCTGCAAGAATGTATGGTGATTCTACTAGAAAGGAGTCAGACGTTAACGAACGTAGAGACAATACATTCTGACGATATAGAGTAGCTAACAAAAATCTTACAAGTTCGCTTTTGAAGCAAATCATTACGAATTAGCTTATAACGTATTCCATCACCGAGAGGGCCACATCACCGAGAGGGCCACTTTTTCTTGGCATCGCGAACTTCACGTACAAAAGATAATGCCTCAATAACAGAACGCCATATGAACTCAGCAAGAAAGTAGGCTTACTCTAGCTATTCGGGCCTATCGTACGGGTCAGTTTAAGAGCATTCGACGCGCTGCAGCTACCTACAACGTCCGACATCAGCAGCTCTCTAAGCGGCTTCAAGGAATCACCTTTCAACCTACAACGCAGCTAAATCGCCAGAAACTAACTAAGTCTGAAGAGAAAACTATCGTACGATACATTCTTAACCTAGACTCGCAAGGATTTGCCCCCCGTCTGTGTGAAGTAGCAGATATGGCAGAGAAACTACTACGCGTACGAGATGGCCAGCCT